GATATCTTCTTTCATGATACTAATCTAGTTCTTACCAACTTATGAGTGTTAACATTTTATTTTATTTATTTTTTTTAAAGATTTTATTTATTTATTTGAGAGAGAGAGAATGAGAGACAGAGAGCATGAGAGGGAAGAGGGTCAGAGGGAGAAGCAGACCCCCCCTGAGCAGGGAGCCCGATGTGGGACTCGATCCCGGGACTCCAGGATCATGACCTGAGCCGAAGGCAGTCGCTTAACCAACTGAGCCACCCAGGCGCCCACATTTTATTTTTTTAAAGATTTTATTTATTTGACAGAGAGAGACACAGTGAGAGAGGGAACACAAGCAGTGGGGAGTGGGAGAGGGAGAAGCAGGCTTCCCGCTGAGCAGGGAGCCCGATGTGGGTCTCGATCCCAGGACCCTGGGATCATGACCTGAGCCGAAGGCAGACGCTTAACGACTGAGCCATCCAGGCGCCCTGAGTGTTATATTTTAAACTCATTAATAAATGAGTTCAAAACGCACTAAAACCATCCATTTTGAAGATTTCAGAAAGGAAGATGGATAAGCCATATCCTGATATAATTTTTGGCAAAAGGAAAATCACAACATGATGGAAGTATTTTTTCCTCATCATCAGTTTTCCAACCGCTGTTTCCATAAGTTTCTTTTATAAAGTAGTTGTCTTCTCACTGTTAAAAATCACCTTTACCTTGAAAGCACAGGTTGTGTGTGTGTGCGCACACGCATGCTTTTGTGCCTTAACATCTGCTAAAGCATAGCACTGGAAGCTATTTCATAGCACTGGAAAAGTGAGCAGAATTAGAACACTTGTCTTTTTTTTGTTGTTTTTTAAGCATAGCAATAATTAAGTTTCCCAATTCTTTTAAGTAATTTGCCAAAGTGAACAAGATGGTCACTTCCCATCTTGTTAAAAAAAAAAATCACAAATATTTAATATCTTATGAAACTAGTCATTTTGAGGTATTGTAATGATTTATGATACCAACTGCCTGGAGTTAGGCCAGATTTCACAGATTAAGGTCATAGTCCTCCACAAGACTGCCCTCATTTCAGATACCAGCCACAAGTTTGGGGAACTTCAGGACTTCGCTTACTTCTGATCAACTTTGTACAGATTTGGGGGTTCCCATGACTCCCTCAGGTTTGATAATTTGCTAGAACAACCCACTGGACTCAGAAAAGTGCCAGCCATGCTTTTATTATAGCAAAAGGGTATAAAATCAGAACTATCCAAAGGGAGAGATGCATAGGGTGAGATCTGAGAGAGTCCCAAAGACGAAGCTTTCATTGTCCCTGTGGATGCTCATTAATGTATGACAATACACATAGTATTATCAGTCAGAGGAGCTTGCCTGAGCTTCAGTGCTTAGAGTTTTTATTGGAGTTTGTTACGTAGGCATGCTTGATTGAGTCATTTGCCACAAGGTTGAACTCAGTCTCCATCCTTCCCCAGTCGGCTGATTTCTCATGGCTCAAAGCCCAAGCCCTCTAATCCCATGTTTGGTCTTTATGGCTTGGTCAGTCCCTATCTTGAATCATCTTGTTAGCACAAACTAGGGGCTCACTAAGAGTGACTTCATTAGCATAAACTGTCAGGGCCCAGTGTGAATAACAAAGACATTCATATTAGGAAATTCTAGGGATTTAGAGGCTACCTCCCAGGAACTGGGTACAAAGGCCAGCCAAATTATTAATTACACAGATATTTAAACTACAATATGATGGAACATACAGAGAGTGAATGAACAAGTGAAGGTACACCATCAACTTAAGAGTTGTGGAACCTCCACTCTTTCCTCGTGATAGACTCTGTACCACACATGACGTGCAACCAACACTGAGCCCGTATGGTAGTAATAAAGCTTATTTTACTTAACATTTTAAATACCTATTAATAGATGTTCTAGTATTTTATTTCTGTGCCCTGGGGTATTGTGCCCCATTTTAGAGATCACTGCTCTAGAGATCCCTTGGCTAAATTATTTAAAGAGTGCTACAGACTGAATGGGTCTCCTGAAACTTCATATGTTGAAATCCTAATTCCTGATGTGATGGTATTAGGAGGTGGGGCCTTTTGCAGGTGACAGGTCACGAGGGTAGAACTCTCATGAAGGGGATCAGTGTCCTTACACAAGAGACCCCAGGGAGTTCCCCCACCACTTCTGCCAAGTGAGGACGTAGTGAGAAGACAGCCATCTATGAATTAGGAAGGGGGTTTCTCACCAGATAGTAAATCTGCTGGCATCTTGATCTTAGACTTCCCAGCTGCTAGAACTGAAAAATAGATTGTTGTTTAAGCCACACAGTCTGTGATATTTTGCTGCCCTTGACATGTCTTCCTGTAGGTAGAATGTACTTCCCTGTCCTATTCATATCCAGTCCAGGCGACTTCCATTGGCCAATGGGATCATAGTGGACATCATGTATACCTTATCTGAATAGAGGATTGGAATGTTTCTGCATGTTTCAGCTTATCAGGAGCTGCTCTAGAAACCTAGGTTCCAGAATGAGAAAATACTAAGAGAAGAACCAAGCAGAGTTACAGTGAACCTTATGTAGACCATAAGCTCACATGCAGTGTGAATGAGATATAAATGTTTGCCGTTGTAAGCCACTCAGATTTTGGGGTTGTTTGTGATATAGTGTAATCCAGTTATAATGTAATTTACTCCAGGGAAAGAGAGATACCTTTAGGAACATATTTTGTCTTTTCTTTACAAACTTAGATTGTTAAGGCTCTGATAATCAATGATTACTCTTGGGAGGAGGGTGTATGCGTGCACACATGCAAGTGTGCAAGTACTTGTTAGGTCTAGTAGTTATTTGCTAGAAAATTTGCAAGAATCAGCCCTTCCCCCTCTTACCTTTTTTCATACCCTTTTCTCTTTCCTTACCAAACAGTTCAGTCCTAAATGAAATCTTAGGTAGAGCAGAACAAGGTAGGTGTCTGATGTAGGGTGGGATGGGGGAGCAACAGTGGCCTGGTGCAGGTTGTCAGAACTCAGGCAGGGTGAGAAGGGTGATATTCAGGAGGTTGGCTTGAGAGTGGTGTGGGAGTCCAAGAGTCCAGAGAACATGTCTGCAGCAGTGGGGGAGAGTATTTCCAGCATGGGGAACCACACTCTATAGTGAGGAGAGTGTCCACACATGGCAATAGCCTGGTATAGGGAGGGTATCAGAAGCAGCCTGGTCTGGGATGCCAGTGTTGGAAAGGTGAAGAGGATGTCTATGTGGTGGGGTAGCCAGGTGCAGGGAGCTTTAAGCAGGATGATCCTTCCTGGGAGGTGGGAGACCTGGCGTGGGGTTTCATGGTCCAAACAAGAGTGAGGAAAGTGTACATGCAGAGGGTAGACCTGTGTGGGTTTTAGAGGCTGAACAGGGTAAGGAAGTTGTCCAATGTGGGAGGGTAGCCCAGGGTGGGGACTCCGAGCCCAGGAAGGGTAAGGAGAGCTTCCACGCATCCAAGGGACTCTTGTGTAGGGTTTTAGAACCTAAGTGGGATAAGGATGGATTCCAGGTGAGGGTTAGGAAGCCAGCATGAGCAATCAGAGTCTAGGCAGAGTAAGGAGGGATTTCCTATGGAAGGTGGCCTAGCATAGGGTGTCACACCTGAGCAAGATGATGTCTGTGGAGGTTGGCTAGCTCTGTGCAAGAACACCCAAGCAGGATAAGGGCTCCAACAATAATGGTGGCCTGGGTTGGGAAGTCAGAGCCCAGTCAGGGAGAGAAGAGCATCTTTGTCAGGGAATGACAAAGACAGAAAATTGACTAAATTCAGGGGATTACTCAAAAAAAAGTAGTCAAAGACAATGGAAGCAGGTTTCTTACTGTAACAGAAGGGAGTTAGAAATGTGGAAGGGAGAAAACTAGAATGAACTCTTTAGTGTTGGATTGGAATTAGAGGTTATTAGTGTGAATGCATGGTTTTCAACATACCTTGATTTAGAAATAAATGAGGTAAGTGTGTGTGTTATGCAGGCGATGGAGGAGTTTGGTGGGGGAGATTAAAAGAAGGAGGATCATTTGGGGAGAGCTGAATCTAGGGTGTGAGCTAAGAGCATGTCTGGGAAGATTCTATATGAAGGTTCAATTTTCCGAGTGATTTCCTCTTGTCCTTTAGAAAAAGTCATATTTGTGACTGAGTTATCTCCTAATTTGTGATTCCATTAAATTATCCTAACTTGTTAAAAAATAGTCACATTGACCTGTATCGTCTTGTTGCGGTGTGGTGGGGATTAAAGGGGTAGAGAAGAGTGGAGTAAAGGCTGACCTACCCCAGTAACACCCAGGAGAGAGAGCTGCTTTCAGGAGCGCTGGAAGTGACTGTAGCAAAATGAATGGAGATCTGTGAGGGAGTTAGTTGAGAACAGGGAAAAACAGCACTGAGGAGCAGCTTCAGAAGACATATGGTAAGCTTTGGCTTCCCTGCTACTTTAGAAGATACTGACTGAAAGTGGAGAGGCTAACATGTGAGTTGTCAGTGATCCTCTGAGAATGTGGTACCCAAAAGGTGCCTGATGAGCTACAAATGATGAGAATACAGCATGGATGAGTATATGCCCGGGTTGGTCTAGAAATAATTATGTTTGCATATAGATGTATACGGATATTTGAATTTCATTCTTGCTGGTGAGTTCAGATAATACAAGTCTCAGAAAAGATTTCTCCAATTGCTTAGTTTCCATTTGTTTACTTCCTGTTTTTTTTTTTTAATCTGCCCTTTGAGTTCCTAAGTTCCTACTTTTATTACACTTGCTGACATATGATTCTATGCTATGATTAAATGCTATGATTCTCACTGTGTTGGTCCTGGGGATTGGGCCTCTCTCTGAGGTTTTTAATTTTCATGAGATTCCTCTTAGGGTTATTTGCATATCAGGGGCTCCTGTTCTTGATAGGAAGTATGACAAGTTGCCACCATGTTCGGGTTTCATTTTGAGATGTTTAAAGGAAGAGGTTAAAAGGATTTTTTGAACAGAGCAGATTTCTCAATATGACTTCAGAGACCACTTATGCTGAATTGAGTTTCAAAAATGAATCCAAGTCCTCAAGCACCAAATCATGGCCTCCTGCAGGTAAGAAGCATTTTCTGGTGGTCAGAGTTTATGATGAGATGAAGGATGAAGAGAGAATACTATAAATGAAGCATAGGTAATGTTAGTTGCTGCTTCTCTGGCTGCAGTTGGGACACATTGGATTCTGAGTTGCCTGAAGAGAAGCATTAAGGGGGTATACAGTTATACTCTAACAAAATTGAGGTGTGACAAATCCACTACAGTCCCGAGCTAAGGAGAGTGCTAATTATGCTGAGAAGAACAACTTCTTCTGTACTTTCTGAAGCTGAGTGAGATACAGTCAAGAGATTGGGTACAGGTCTTGAAACCATCAGCCTGAATGCAGGGGCTATTGATGGATTAGCAGGCTCAGTTGGAGGGGAAGAGTTTGAGTAGAGAATGTTGTGGGTGTATTTGTTAGTACCGGACTAAAGTGGAACCAAAGACCATTGCATATGAAAGAAGAGAAAGTTACAAAGAGAGTCTCTAACATTACAAGGGAAATTGCCCTGCATTCAGAAAATCTATTGCATACCCCACTTGTCAATACCTCATAACTTTGAGAAAACAATTCTTTTTATTTCTTTATGGAGGTATGATTGACAAATAACATATAGTAGTCCCCCTTATCTGTGGGAAATATGGTCCAAGATCCCCAGTGAATGCCTGAACAGTGGATAGTACTAAACCCTATATACTGTGTCTTTTTCCTATGCATATATACCTATGATAAAAGTTTAATTTAAATTAGGCACAGTAAGAGATTAACAGCAATAACTAATAATAAAACAGAACAATTATAACCATATATTATAAAAGTTATATGAATATGGTGTCTCTCTCAAAATATTGAACTGTATTCACCTTTCTTTTTCTTGTGATAATGTGAGATGATAAAATTCTTATGTGATGGGATGATGTGAGGTGAATGACATAGGCATTGTGACCTACCTACTGTTAGGATCATCTGCCTCCAGATCACAGTTGACCACAGGTAACTGAAATCATGTAAAGCGAAACTGTGGGTAATGGAGGGGCTACTGTCTTAGTTTCAGGTGTACAGTGTAATGATTTGATTTTTAAAAAATATTTTATTTATTTATTTGACAGAGAGAGAGAGAACACAAGCAGGGGGAGTGGAAGAGGGAGAAGCAGGCTTCCGGCTGAGCAGGGAGCCCAATGCGGGGCTCGATCCCAGGATCCTGGGATCATGACCTGAGCTGAAGGCAGACACTTCACGACTGAGCCACCCAGGCGCCCCTGATTTTTGTATATATTTGTGAAATGATCACTAAAATAAGTCTAGTTAGGGCGCCTGGGTGGCTCAGTTGGTTAAGCGACTGCCTTCGGCTCAGGTCATGATCCTGGAGTCCTGGGATCGAGTCCCGCATCGGGCTCCCTGCTCAGCAGGGAGTCTGCTTCTCCCTCTGACCCTCTTCCCTTCCATGCTCTCTATCTCTCATTCTCTCTCTCTCAAATAAATAAATAAAATCTTTAAAAAAAATAAATAAAATAAGTCTAGTTAACATTCATCACCATAAATAGTTAACCCAATTTTTTTTTCTTGTGATGAGACCTTTTAAGAGTTAATCTCTTAGCAACTTTCAAGTATGTAATAATACTTAATAGTTGATAACACTGTAATAATCTAAAGCATTAACTGTAGTAAACATGCTATACATTACAACCACAACTTCTTTATTTTATAACTGGAAGTCTGTACCTCTTAATCCCCTTCCCCCATAACCCACCCGCCACCCCACCTCTGGCCATCACCGATCTGTTGTTGTCTGTATCTGTGAGTTTTGCTTTGTTTTGTTTTTCGGATTCCACAAATCAGTGAGATCATATGGTATTTGATTTCTCTGACTTATTTCACTTAGCATAATGTCCTCAGGGCTTATCTGTGTTATCACAAATGACAAGAGTTCCTTCTTTTTTTATGGTGGAATAATATTCTATTGTATATGAATATCACATTTTCTTTATCCATTCATGGATGGGTGGACACTTAGGTTGCTTTCCTATCTTAGCTACTGTAAATAATGCTGCAGTGAACATAGGAGTGCATATATCTTTTTGATTTAGTGTCTTTGTTTTCTTTGGGTAAATATCCAGGAGTGAAGTTAATAGATCATATGAAATTTCTATTTTTAATTTTTTGAGGAACCTCCATACTGGTTTCCACAGTGGCTGCACCAGTTTACATTCCCACTAACAGTGTGTGAGGGTTCCCTTTTCTCCATATCCTCACTTGACACCGTTATTTCTTGTTTTTTTGATACTACCCATTGAGAAAATAATGAAATAGTGACTTAACCATTAAATAGTGACTAAAAAGTTCTGACCATATTTTAAGAATGTGATGAGGGAATGAGTATAATAAAGATTTATGTGCTATGGCATTATTTAAAGTAGTTAAAGTTGGGAACAATCTGGAAGATTATTTACGTATCTAATGACATACTTTGCCACCATAATAGTGTTAAAGAAGAAAATATGCTCGTATGAAAAATGTTCATGGTATAGTATATAAGAATATGGCAGGTCAGAAACCAGTATATATGGTATGTCAATCATGTGGGAAAATGTGTATGTATGTATGTATATATATACACTTTGAAAAATTACTGGGAGGATATATACCAAAACATTAGCAACAGTAATCCTCAATGGATACTGTGCTTTTATATATTTTCTGAAGTTTCTACAATGAACATTATTATTTTTCTCCTATTTTCATATTATTTCAAATGTCATATCGTTGGCAATACTATGTCATCCAAGAAAAGGGAGAAGGAGAAGGGAAGTAAGAGCCAGAATTTATTACTGATGAAACTCATTTCATTTCTCCTTCAGCTCCCAAAGAGAAGACCAGCCCACACAAAAGTAACCCCAGTTTTCCCAAGCTACTTTTTGCCTCGTTGCTGGTACTTCTGCTGCTATTGACAATCTCATTTTTTATCGCTTTTATCAGTAAGTACTCATCTGAATCTATGAGGAATGTCTGTCTTACATAAAGAGATGACATCCATTAGATACTGACATTTAATGATGGGTATATCCAGAAATCTGGAAAAGAGGTCTTCTTTGGGGTTGGTGGGGAGGGACACAATTAATGGGAATCTGTTAGGAATTTTGTTACTTATTTGAATTTAGTTTATAAAAATAATGGAATCCACCCTTTAGAGAAATTGAAGAGTACATGTGTGTACATGTGTTTGTGTTTAGAGAGACATCTATTAGGCACCATTTCTACCCTAGATAGTTGTGGTAAATGAGGACAAAGCTATATTTGCCTATTAGTGTTTATAAGGCCGGGGGATTTTGAGTGCACAGAGACATATTTTGAGATGAGCAGGTGGACAAAAAGAGATGGGAAGAAATGTTCCAGGAAGAGTTTGTCTGTCCTGCCCAAGACTGTAAGATCTAAAAGCCAATTTAGCAAATAAGTGGATTTCCTCGTATCTTTGGCTTTAAGAATTTGTTGAATTTTTAAAAGGCGTGAGAAGTAGTTAAGCCAGTATGTGGTGGGTCAAGGAGAAAATGTGAGATAAGGAGGAAAGAAAGAGAAAATTCACTTTCTAGAGGGAGAGGTAAGTTATTTTTAAGTTGTGAGTATATTGGTGTGGTGAGGAATAAGAGCCATTTAGGAGTAGATAGATTAAAGGAAAGAAGATGAGGAAAATAATGCCTATTCCTCCTGATTAATGTTGGATTAAAAACAAAATTCTTACTCTCTAGGTAACCCCGAACTCCTCAGAATTAGCTCATTTCCCCCACAAGGACCTATGCTGCGTACATCCTCAGAAGTGTGTGTTTGTCCTCCATTCTCCCACCTCCAAGGCTTAGTCTTTGCATTTAGTATTGAAGGAAAATATGGATAAATCTCTTTGCAGTCATTCTAATGGAGCTATCATGTCCTCTTTCAACTACTGATTTTTCAGCTGTTCCTGGAGAAATCTATGGTTTCAAAATCAGTAGAATTAGGATTACCTTGAATGTGGGGTGATGAGACATCTTTTCCGCAGTCAGGATCCTTCTCAAACAATTGGGCATTTGTAGATCTTGTTGCTATAAAATAGAATCTAAGGAAGTAACAATAGAAGGCAAAGTCATAACACTACCAGGAAAATGAATGGCTTTTTTTTTTTTTTCAATTTTTTTTCAAAAGTATTCTCAGCTTCTTGAAAAAAAGACTACAAAAGAACTCACTCACACAGAATTGGAATGTATGAAAGAAAATTTGACCATGGAAGGTAAAAATTAATGTGCCTATAATTCATTGGTTGACTATACTATATAAGGATACCAAGTCAATATTTCCAATAAGATTCACAGGTAGATCATACTAAGAAGTTGAGTCTCATGGTCATTTCAAGCTCTAAGTGTAGAAATACATAAGACCTGAAATTCTTATATGCATATCTTTATCTGTACAATGAAATAGTCTTCATTGTGGAGCTGGCTGTTTAAATCCATGATTGTCCAGCCACATCCTTGGTGTTCTCTCCAGAACACACTTTCTCAGTTTTTATACTATGGATAGGCTGAGAATTTTCCAAATCTTCAAATTCTGGTTCCTTTTTGTTTAACACTTTCTTCAGTTTATCTCTTTCCTCTTGCATTTTACTATAAGCAGTAAAGAGAAATCAGGCCACAGCTTTAACACTTTGCTTAGAAATCTCCTCTGTTAAATATCCAAGTTTATAAGTTCTGTCTTTCACAAAACATTAAACACAACTCCCACCAAATTCTTTGCTATTTTAGAACAAGAATTGCCTTTCCTCCAGTTTCCAATAGCATACTTCTCATTTCCATCTGAGACCTTACCAGAAGCACTTTAATGTTCATATTTCTACCAACATTCTTTTCATTATAGGATATGTATATTCTTTGAGATGATAGGAGCTTTCTCTACAGCTCTGTTTTCTTTCTGAGCCTTCACCAGAATTACCTTTAACATCCATATTTCTACCGGCAGCTCTTTCAAGGCAACCTAGGCTTTTACTAGCAGGCACCTCAAAACTCTTCTAGCCTCTACCCATCATCCAGTTCTGAAGCCACTTTCACATTTTTTGGTATTTGTTACACTCCACTTTGGTGCCAAAATCCTTATTAGCCTGTTTGGCTGCCGTAACAAAATATCACAGACTAGGCGGCCTAAACAACAAATTTATTTTCTCACGGTAATGGAGGCCAGAAGTCCCAGGTGACATAAGAGTTGGTTTCTGGTGAGGACTTTCTTCTTGGCTTGAGACAGGCACCTTCTTGTGTGTCCTCACATAGCCTATTCTCTGTGTGAATGGGGAGGGAGAGCTTTCTGGTGTCTCTTCCTCTTCTTATAAGAACACAAGTCCTGGGGCACCTGGGTGGCTCAGTCGGTTAAGCACCTGCCTTCAGCTCAGTCACGATCTCAGGGTCCTGGGATTGAGCCTCGCATCGGGCTCCCTGCTCAACGGGGATCCGCTTCTTCCTCTCACTTCGCCTGCTGCTCACCCCGTTTGTGCTCGCTCTCTCTCCGTCAAATGAATAAAATCTTAAAAAAAAAAAAAACACAAGTCCTATTGGATTAAGGCCCTACCTTTTTTATAACCTCATTTAACCTTTATTACTTCCTTGAAGTCTACCACTGTAGTCACATTGAGGATTATAACCTCAGCACATGAATTTTTGGGGAACACAATTCAGTTCAAAACAAGTTTCTATGTAATTTATTGGAAATTCTTGTGTATGTGGTATTTGTTTCTTCTATCCTGTTTATTAATTTATTCAATCTTGTATCTGTATCATCATGTACTCATGGATATTTATCCTATACTTTGGGTTGCAGTCCAATACTATATTTATTTTGTTGCTCAAATTGTTCTGCCTTTGCCACTGGGAGTTCTTTCAATTGGTTCCTGTGGCCCTTAGACTTGCCCCCATCAATGTGTTGTTATGCTTTGTTTTTGAGCACTTCCTTACTTTCTGGGACTGTGAGATTCTCTGGGCTTAGATTGTATATTTCCTGTCTCAGTCTTAGAATCAGCTATTTCTCTGTGGAGCCATGGCTCCTGTTCCTGAAAAATGGTATTGGAAACCAATATTTGGATACTAGGTATGCTCATTGCTACTGAGGTGTTATTTCTTTTAGGCCCCCTTAGTTCACAGAACAAGGAAATATATATGTGTGTACTAACCTGTGCATGTACATATATTGATAAATATTTATACTGTAACTATGTATCTGTAATAGGGTACACATCAGTTTTTACTGTTGTCTGAAACTTTCATTGATTACATTGCATCATTCTAGCCTACTCCCCTTGATATCTTTAATGACCACTCCAACAGAGAGAAATCTGGTTCCCATCATCTGCTCAGTACATTTACATAATTATCAGAGTTGTAAACTCAAACCACCATGGGAAACAACTTTATCAACTAGAATAGAGTGCTTATGTGCAGTTTCTTTTGTCTTTAATCCATTCCATTTCCAAAGTTATTGCGGTCATCCTACCCACCCCTAGTGTGGTTGTTTCCAACACTTGTAGTATAGTTAGATTCTCTTGTCACAGTTTTCATTCTTTCATGGACTCCTGGACCTCCTAAATGAATTTTTAAAATTTGCATGCAGGGCGCCTGGGTGACTCAGTTGGTTAAGCATCTGTCTTCGGCTCAAGTCATGATCCTGGGGTCCTGGGATCGAGCCCCGCATCGGGCTCCCTGCTCAGCGGGCGGCCTGCTTCTCCCTCTCCCACTCCCCACTGCTTGTGTTCTCTCTCTCACTGTCTCTCTCTGTCAAATAGATAAATAAAATCTTTAAAAAAATAATGTTCCACTGTATATAAATACCACATCTTTTTTATCCATTCATCTATCAGTGGAACACTAAGGTTGCTTCTATATCTTGGCTACTGTAAACAATGATGCCATAAACATAGAGGTGCATTTATCTTTTTGGTTTAGTGTTTTTGTTTTTTGGGGAGTGTCCGTACTCAGTAGTGGAATTACTGGATCATATGATATTTTTATTTTTAATATTTTGAGGAACCTCCATACTGTTTTCCACAGTGGTTATACCAATTGACATTCCTAACAGAGTACATGAAGCCTCCCTTTTTTCCACCTCCTAGCCAACACTTGTTATTTCTTGTCATTTTGATGTGAGCCTATCTGGCTGGTGTGAGGTAATATCTGACTATAGTTTTGATTTGCATTTCCCTGATGATTAATGATGTTGAACATCTTTTCATGTGTCTGTTGGTCATTGTATGTCTTTGGCAAAATGTTTGTTCAGGTCCTCTGCCCATTTTTAGTAGGATTATTTGTTTCTTTGGGTGTTGAGTTGTATAAGTTCTTTATGTATTTTGGATGTCAACCCCTTATTGGATATATCATTTGCAAATATCCTTTCCCATTCACTAGGTTGCCTTTTTGTTTTGTTTATGGTTTCCTTTGCTGTGAAAAGCTTTTTTATTTTGGTATAGTCCCAATATTTCATTTTTGCTTTTGTTTCCGTTGGCAGAGGAGATACATCCATAAATATGTTGCCAAGGGATTACCATCCCTATTTTTTCTTTTAGGAGTTTTATGGTTTTAGTTCTCACATTTAGGTCTTTATCCATTTATTTTCATGTATGGTGTAAAAAAGCAGTCTAGTTTTATTCTTTTGCATGTTGCTGTCCAGTATTCCCCACACCATTTATTGAAAAGATTGTATTTTTTCCTCTGTATATTTTTGCCTCCTTTGTCATAGATTAATTGATCATATAACTGTGGGTTTATTTCTAGGCTTTCTGTTCTGTTCCCTTGACCTATGGGTCTATTTTTGAACCATACTGTTCTTATATAATAGTGTTGTAGTGTATCTGGAAATGTGAAATTGTGATACCTCAAGCTTTGTTGTTGTTGTTCTTTTTTTTTTTTTTTTAAGATTTTATTTATTTATTTATTTGAGTGAGAGTGAGAGAGCACAAGCAGGGGGGAGCGGC